GTCCCGGTGACGGGAGGTACGATCTGTGCCAATAAAGTTCCCCCGGAAAGAATACGAGAGACGTAGACTGTGTTGTGTGACAACTCACCTGCAAGCGTACTAGAGTGTTGTGGGGGATGGGAAGAAGTAGCACTCTGTTCTAGGGCCTAGCATTTGATGAAAAGCAAGAAATAAATACATGAAAAATAGACTCTCCGGCCCGCCTCCTGTTCATTTTACTTGCTGTTATTTAAACACGGATGCAGAACTAGAGATGTGTCCCTGCCAAACCTTCCTTACAAAGGTCTCAAAAACTGCCAAGAGAACGGCCTTTGATTTCCCCAATAGATATCAAAAGGGGAACAACTGTTTTGTTTAAATTGCTTTATTTTGGAATCCATAAATATTTGTTACTGACAAAAGTGGAAAAATCCTTAAGACTCTAAAGTTTACTAAACTGGTAATAGTTTTGTTTACAGTACATATAGAATGTGCTTTTACTGGTAAGTATAACAACAAGAATAATACAGAGAAAAACAGTCAAATACTGCTCATCTTGAAGCTTATTTAATGGTTAACCAAGAGGCTGTGCAAAGGTACAGATACAAATGTACTTTCTCATCAGTACTACTGTATAATAGTAGTAAACACAGATTCCATAAACTGGGTAAAGCACAACAATGTAAACACAGAATCCATAAATTGGGCTAAAGCACAACGTCTGTCTGCCTACCCCCCTTAGGAAACACTGGCCCCCAAACGAAAAATCTCAGTACGAATTGTCTGTCTTAGAGCCGAGAAATTCTCGCTACAAAATTTCTAACCGATTTACGGAATGAAGGTTGTACGACGCTATTACAAAGCTCATGGGCAAACCCCTTCCACGTGGCATGGTTCTCACATTTCACTGCTGTCCTGAATAACACCAGCGGTGAGAGTTTTCACACAGAATGAAGCGCACAAAAGAGACCCAAAACCTCATGTTTCTAACTACTGAGAACGTGGCTCACTTTCAGATTTACATGAATAGATTGGACCAGACTAATCCCGTCTCCCCTCAAATCCAAGGCCTTTCAGCAGGTTAAAAGCTGATTTTTTTTTTTTTTTTAGTCAGTCAGTTTTAAAACACAAGGACATCTCAGTCGTAAGCCTCAGCCAGCTAGCGACAGCTTGTTAATTACACCTCTATGATCATTGATCAGCTTATAAACATACAACAAACAACTGGCTATTTTCTAAGAAACAGCCTGACACAATTATTGCTAACAACACTTTTTTTTAATGAAAATACTCAATCCAGCTTTTCAAAACTGTCCCCTAGTTGTATCTCTCCAGCACATGAAATCGACACGTATTAACCACTTTCCGCATAGGCCTCCTTCCAGCTGTAGAGAATCAATCTGAAACTAAAGCCAAGACAAGCGTCTTCTGCTACAGAAACTGAAAATGGTGACTGTGTCACAAATTAGAACAGAAACTTCCATGACAGTTAACGTGTTACCCTGTTTTTCGAAACTTCGTTTGCGATGAAGAACTTGTCCCAGCTGCTGGGTGCTCTCCCCCTTTTCCCTGGGATGAGTCTGTCGGTAAAGAGTCGGCACCCCGATCCTAGCATATTGCACCCTTTGGATGTGGCATGGTTTGAGAGAAATATATATATATTTATATATATATCTATATTGCCATGTATTCACAGCAGGGTGACCCAGCTTCCCGGGCCTGTCAGGAAAGCACAGCGGTGAGTAGAAATTAATGCTGGGCAAGGAACGGGGGCCTTGTACCTTAGTAACCATCCCCACCTGCTCGTCTCCACAGCCCTGACTCAGGGTTGTGTAGCAAAGGAACATTACAACACTGGCAAATGTTGTCATTTATCATGACAACACAACGTGGTGCCTTTGCCCCTCACCTGGTAACATTGCCACCGGCTCAGACAGAGGGGTGTGTGATACGTGGTTCGTTAAAAACAGTTTCCATCTCTCCAAGCCTGCGCTCTAGCTCTCAGACGATACAATTGTCAGGGGGTCAGTGCAAATGCTGGGCCCCCCAGTGCAACCCGTTAGTCTGTAGCACTGCCTGGGGCATGCAAAGGCAATACCAGCTGGTGGGAAATGCTACAGACCCCGGGCATGCGGTGTAGTACCTCCCCCTCCTCCCCGCCCTACAGGCACTTCAGGCCCTGGGCACTATGCAAAGGCCTCTGGCCGCCCTCGGCTCCGGCGGGTCACAAGCCAGACCTGCTGCCCGGAGGCGTCTGGCCCACACCCTGCTTTCCTCCCCAGAGAGGGTCAGAGGGCTCAGAGCTGGGCAGGAGGAAGCCGGGAAGCGGACGGTTCTGTGAGAGCAGCCACGGGCCTGCCGCTGGCGAGGGAGCCACGAGAGAGAGAAGAGACCCTGTGGGCTGTTCTGGGACGCTGCCCCACCCTGGCACAGTCCCTCTGACTCCTGCCAGTCAGCTGCTGGAATGCAACACATGCTCTCCCGCCACGGGACACCATGCGTCCATCCTTCTCTCCCGTGGCGCTGGCAGCAGCTCGCCCACCCCCCCGGACTCCTACTGCTCCCCTCTGGCTCAAGGGGCCAGCTGGGACTAGTGGTCCAGCATCAGCCTAACGGACCCTCCCGATTCAAAGGGCTGGCGGAACGGGGCTGGTTAGGCCAAGAGCAGGCTGAGAGGGGACATGGCAGCAGCTTTCAAGGACCTGGAGGGAGAAACGTTGTTCTCCGTCCCCTCTGCTGCCTGACAGGACAAGGAGCAAGGGGCTCAAACTGCAGCCAGGGGGGTTAGGTTGGACATGAGGGAAATCGTCCTGCCGGTCGCACTCTGGACTAAACTGCCCGGGGAATCTCTGTCCCCGGGGCTATTTAAGAGCAGGTTGGACACCCGGGCCTGGACTTGAGGGCCTCTCCAGTGCTGTGAGCCAGCGACACCCGGCGCCAGCCCAGGCATGACGGCCTGAGGCAGCGGGACAAGGAGGAGCTCCACCCGGCCGAGCACGGCGGCGCGTGGCTGAGCTACCCGCCCACCACGCCACGCAAGGGCCGGAGCAGTGGCCAGAAGAGACGATTCTTAGGGACTTGCCCGGCCTTGTGAGGCTGCCGGCTCCCCCCAGGGCTGCGGCTGCCAGGGGGCTTCATTGCGCCTGTGGGACACATCAGCTTCCCCCAGCTGCCTGCGTGAGCGGGACAGGCCCACAGGGGCCCGCGAGCCTTTGGCAGGTGACTGCCAGGGCGGGACGGGGGGCAGAGGGCCTGCAGCCTTCCTGACGCGGGGAGGTGGCGCTCGGCAGTCAGTGGCCTGGTGCACGGCACGGCCTCCGGCAGGGTGCGCAGGCAGGTCCCGGAGCTGCTCCTATTCCCCTTGCTCCCACCTCGCGCACTGGAAGCGGAAGCAGCAGATGGAGTTTGTGGGGAAAGAGCCGCCCAGGGAGCTGGCTGCCTCCCGCGAGGAGAGAGCAGAGTTCGACCCCGGCGCCCGGCAGAGCCTGGCTCGGCTGCCCAGCCAGCTGGAACGGGCCCGCGCCTCCCCTCGGTGGAACGGCTCCTGCTGTGCACGGGGTGATGTCCTGCCCTCGCGCCAGCGCCCAGACAGCCACACTGGCCCGGCTCCATCCCGTGTCTGCCCTGTTACGAGGACCGGGCAGCCTCCGCCAAGCCCCGCCGTGGGCCCCTGCAACGGGGGGCTGCCCACTCCAGCGCCTGGGCCACCAGGCTAGTCAAGGCAGGAGGAAGCCGCCGCTCCTGCTCCGTGCTTGATTCTTGCCCCTCCTCCAGTCTCTGCTCTCACACCTGCAGAGCTCAGGGACCCGTCCTGGCTCCGGGCCAGGCCTGCAACTTCTGCCCCAGGCTCTGACTCTCTGCTTCACTCCCTGGCTGACTCTTAGCTTATTTCCCCAACCTGGATGCGTGCTCCACCCACTAGGCATGACTCCTGCTCTGCCCACTTGGCAAGACTGCCTGCATTCCAGCCTGCGACGCAGCGGCAAATGGCTCCCTTCCGTTCAGAATTAACCCCGGCCTCAGGAAGAGGTGGGTAAAGGCTGAGAGGCTTGGCTGCTGCTGAGAGGTGCCCGTATCTGCGGGGCTGGAAGAGGCGGGATGAGGGTGGGGTGAACGGAGCCAGCCCCTGCACAGAGAGGTGTCTCCTCTGTCCCACTGCAAAACGCCACACGGTCGGGGAGGGCTCATTAGATCACACAGCCTGCAGGGGTGGACGTGGGGGGCCCAGCGCAGTTTCTGTCAAACAAAGCCCCGTACTGGTAGCTCGAACCTTTCCCAACACACTGAGCCCCGGGAGCTACGACCAGGCGAAGAACAGCCCTGGCCCACTGCAGCACGATGCCTGTCAAGTGGGAACAGGCTCGTCACAAGGAGAACATCTTCCCACGGCCCTTCCGGCTCCCCGGGACCCGGGGGGGCCTCAGAATTAGCCTCTGCTGGGAGCCAGAGAGCATCTCACACCGCAGGCTGGGGGCCATGCGGTGAGTGGGGGAGGGGCCGTGACTGAGTATGCGGTGGAGTGGCAGAGAGCTGGGGCAATTCTTACTATCTGTATGTAAAACCTGAAGTCCTTGGTCCGGGACGCTGACCGGCCTTTCGAAAGCTCCTCCCAGGGCGCAGAGGTACGTCCTACTTTGAGTGAGCTCTACAGAATGGAAATACAAACTGAAATACAAAACACCTCACAAAGTTTGGACCCAGGAGTCTATTTTTAAAAGAATTTACAAATACTCTGCATCTAATTGGCAATACACATCAGCTGTACAGCATGCCCGCTTCGAGGGGTTATGTCTACTATATAATTTATGCACATGAAATAGAACGGCTCAGGCGATGACTTGGAAGTCTCTCTCTAGTTCTGAGGCAATAGACAAACTTTTCTGTCCGTGTCTTTTAAGCAGCTTGAGCAAAGAGGGCGCCGTCCCCCTGACATGGTGAGTCCTCCCTTGTGAGGTCGTTCAGCTCTGGAAGAGGCTGAGGGGCCGGGCTGGGCCGAGCTGCTAACAGCGTGGTGAAACCACGGCCCCACGGAAGCCAGCGCGAGTCGGACGGTTTCCGTGGAGCTGTGGGTTTACCTATAGTGCTGGCTAGCAAGGGGATGACGGGTGGGTGGGTTTTGGTGCCTCCGGCATCATGTTGGCAAGAAGCAGAACCAATCAAATCCCATCCCTGTTTTCTGGTTACAGAAATTAGGAAGAGCACAGAAAGGGCCTAACGAGCATTCCAGCCTAATTGTGCTTATTGACACGTCAACCCCGCTACTTCCTACGCTGAGAGCAGGCGGTTTGTAGGCACTAGTATAGTTCTGTTTGGTGAGTATATTTAGCGGCTCAACTAATCGTGCCACGAGATCTGGCAGCCCCCCGGTAAGCTTTGCCTGGAAAACCCCTCTGGAAGAGCAGCGGCTGCTTGGGGGGGCGTGGGGGGGTATGTGAGCGTCTCACGCTTGGCGGAGACGACCAGAGTCCAGGGCGATGCAAGGAACCACTGAACAACTCAGTACTGGCCAAAAGCGCTGGTGTGAGAGATGGCGACAGGCCTCACTTGCCAAGCGAGGAGGCTGCACCCTACCAAGGGCTCTGTGAGGAACTGCGTTAAGTCCTCCATTCACCAGAAGCAGGGCGTCCCAGCAGCTTAGCCCTTGGCAGGTGCCAGCCACTGCTATGGCTTTCTTTGACAGAAACTGGCACAGGATGGGGGCTCTCTCCAATGTCCCTCCCAAGTCGTGTTTTGTTTTTGTTCTTATGTCAACAGCATGAGAATGGGTTTAAAAACACTGCAGATGGGACTCAGAAAAGTCCTTTCGGACGCTCAGTTAGAGGTTATCTTGGCCTGTAAGGCCACTGCAGTTTGGGGTGCTGGGGTCACACCAGTCCTTGCTGATTATTTTCTAGGCACAACCTCACATCAAACAGTCACCTCTGTTTTGCTCGCTGTGCGGTAGTGTTGGTGGTGTCCTGGGATATAATGCAGCTGTTCCACGGTGTTGTGCCGCCGGGAGGCGAACGCTTGGCGCTTGGCGGACGTTTGGTTCATACACAAGGTATTGTACAAGTTATTTGAGGCACTGGGATGGGAGTGCATCTTTGTCATCCTGTAGCGATCCAGGACAGGCGTGGAAACAAAGACGTCCGTGTGTGACAAGGCGCGTGACATGGACGGCTCTGCGAAGCCCGTGCGCTCCGGGGAGAGCAGGGGGTCTTGGGAATGGAGGCGCTCTGCGGACAAAAGCTGTTCATCAGAGAGGATCCGCTCGTAGGACATGCTGAACTCCTCGGGCATGACCCTCTCGGGAGACAGCACCCTGTCCTGGGACATGGCCCTCACGGGGCGCCGGGGCCGCTCCCGGTGGTTGGGCTGTTTCTGGGACAGCTGGATGACGTTGAGAGGGAGCGTCCCCCGTGCTGCCAGGTCAGGAAGGTGTCTTCGCTTCATGTAATATTCGTCGGCTTCTTTGTCAGCTGCGGGCAGAAGAGAAAGGGAAACAGCGTTAGGGAGCAGCCGAGGGCGGGGCTGGGTGGGAGAGCAGGGTGCTGTGCAGAGGGTAGTGCTCTGGGACAAGACTTTCCGGCGCGCCAGGCAGTGTCTGCGGCAGCACAGACATGGAGGCCCGTCGGGCCTTTTACCTCGTCCTTCAGAGGGGTCACCATAGCGCAAGAACGGCGCCAGCTGCACCGTGTGAGTATCGTGTGCACGGCACGTGGACCCAGCGCCCAATATGGGGGGATCACTCCTAGCCAAGCAGAGAACAGGGGACACGCGAGCCCATGAGCTACAGCACATGCAATGGCGCTATCACCCCATGAACTCAGCGCTGGAGTCCCTGTCACAGTCTCGGGTGACCGTAGGGCTACCTGGTCACAGAAGCCACGTTGTTTGGGAAACAGAATTTCCAGTCTGAGAGAAATTTAGAAATTTCCTTTTGTCTCAAACTGGCACTAAAAGGTGAAATTTCCAAATTTCGCGTGAAACAAAAAGTAACATTTTTTTCAGACCCATTGAAAGGTTGAGGTTTTCATTTCACCAGTGTTTGTCATGTCATGTCAGATGGGCTGTGTCATGTAGGAATAGCCCAAGGAGGCTGGTTTCAATCAGAATTGTCTTCTCTGCAGTTTTTCAAACCCTCTTTTTCTTGTTGTGGTTCCTGCCAGGTTAGCCCTGGGCACAGGGGTGCTCCCGTGGGGCACTGCACTTCCTGGTTGGGGTTTGGTTTCGGAAGGGCGGTGGGGACCTCACGCGATATCAGCGCAGAAATCTGAGGGCTGTCCCAAAGCCGCTGAGGAGTGCAGGGAAATGGAGACCGCCTGGCCCGGGGGGGGATTGTTCCATGCAAAGTGCACGGTCCTGCCGGCCGTCCCACTGGCTTGGGGGTCTGGCGTAGGGCTAGGGACTCCGCACACATGCCCCTTCTGTTGGCGGCAGTGCCACAGAAGGCTTGGTGTGGGCATGTTGAGGTCTGTCCGGCGCATCGGCACGCTGAGGAGTGCAGGGAAATGGAGACCGCCTGGCCCGGGGGGGGATTGTTCCATGCAAAGTGCACGGTCCTGCCGGCCGTCCCACTGGCTTGGGGGTCTGGCGTAGGGCTAGGGACTCCGCACACATGCCCCTTCTGTTGGCGGCAGTGCCACAGAAGGCTTGGTGTGGGCATGTTGAGGTCTGTCCGGCGCATCGGCACCACCACGGATCCTGACCCTGGCCTGCCAAAACGCAGTCACTGCCTGAAGAAACAACCCCCCCCACCATTCCAAGGAGCTTCCAGCCCCCGCCCCGGTGCTGCCGCAGGTGTGCGCGGTGGCAGTGTCCCCCATCGCGGGGCCAACGGCAGACAGGACTTTCCATATTCCAGGTCTTATCAGAAGGAGCCCTCCAGCACCTGCATGGCCAGAGACGAGAAGCCAGGGGAGCAAGCAGGGACCTCAGTCCTGTGCTAGTTCCCTTTCCTGAGCTTCCTTGGACCACACAAGCTTCTCAGCCAATCGCTTTGTGAGACGATACTGAGGACAATTCAACCCACTGGCTCCTCCAGCCTCAGAGCCATGCTCAGGCTGGACCTGGGGACATTGACGAGAATGGTAGGGAGCTGGGATTGAATCAAGGGCCTCTGAATCTCCAAGCAGGAGCCTCTACTGCCTGAGCTAAAGGGCCCACGACCACAGCAACCTCCCCTCCCATGACATGTGGCCCACCCTTTGGAGGGGCGCGGAGCCCCACACGGGTGCAGTCTGGGTTGCACCTCCCTCCATCTCTCGCACCAGGACTTCCTTCCACAGGGCCCTCTGGGGGAGCAGCTGGAAGCCTGCGTTGGCGGCGTTCAGCTGCTCTTCATTTCAAAGCCGGCTGTGACGTTGTGGGTGGTTACGTTCCCCGTGTCCGCTGAGACACACCCACTGCTGGCTTTGTCCTTGCAACGACCCTTTGGGGAAACTGTCTGCAAAGAATTCGGAGCCCAACATTACGAACTCGGGTGCGTCCGAGCCTGAGCTGTGTTTTCCCCTCCTTTCCCTTCCGCTGAGGAGGGAGGAAGAGAACGTCAGTCTCTGAACGAGGATGATGGTTAAAAGCTCTTGCCCTGAGTTATCCTCTGGTTCCTAAGAAATACAGTCGCCGCAGGAGACGCATCGTGACTGGAGGCTCTTTGCGGCAGCCACATGCGGCATAGCCCGATTTGATCGTCCCGTCACTGGACCCGCCAGCTCCAGCGCGCAGTCGGTGAAGGCAGCGGGGAGTGAACCAGTGGCACGCTGTGCTTTAACCTCAGAGTCCACTGAGTATGAGACTTGGCAGCCGGCGGAATGGAACGGTCAGGAGCTAGGCAGGCAGCCCATGGCCATGACTGGAGATCTGCCCCGACATCCCAGATAGGAACCGTTATGCGGTGAGACTCCTGTAACCAGACAGGTCACTCCTCATTGCAGGAGGAGTACGGCTAGTCCGAATTAGGGGCTTTAGTTCGAACTACCTAGCCCGTGCCACTTGTAGCCGCGGGCATTTAAAAATGGCGGCGCCCGGGAACATGCAAATAAAGCCCGGGATATTTAAATCCCGGGCTTCATTTGCAAGTTCGAATGACTGCATTAGCCAGCCTAGTTCGAACTTGGGGGCTAGTGTAGACATACCCCCAGGGAGTAACCAGACAGGGAGTGCTCCCTTGGTCACTTACCATGCTCCAGCCCAGACTCCAGCACAGACCATTTGTCCTTTTCATATTTGTTCATTTTTTTTAATTGTATCCTTTGGTATATATGGTTGTGACTATTTTCTTCCACTATTTGATCTGAGGAAGTGGGTCTGGCCCACGAAAGCTCATCACCTAATAAACCATCTTGTTAGTCTTTAAAGTGCTACATAGTCCTGTATTTTGTTTCAGAAGTAAGGAAAGTCTGGAAGAGGACCAGGAGAAGGGGGAAGACCTGGAAAAGAAGAACTCACCTCTGAGAGACAGCCTAAGACAAGAGAGACTGATATTGCCTGGCCAACAGGGGAAGTCTGCCGGTCTTTATCAGGATTGGTGAGCAAGGCACTGTGTGCTTAGCATGCACATTCTGCTTTGTTTGGGAATTGTCAATCAATAGAGGATCAGGATATTACTGTGTGAGGCTCTTTCAGTGGCTAAAGATCCTGCAAAACCCACAGGAAGATGCGCCCTGAGCATAGGAATTGGGTGAGGGTAGGTGTGTAAATTAACAGGGTTGCACCTTGAGCCCTAGGAACTGGGGAGAGGTGTGTGTCCCTACAGTGTGGAAGGGAGAGAGAAATGTGTGCGGGTAACACAGGCTTTCATGCGCAGAGACACTCCTATGGAGAACCACCTCCGGATGGTTGTTGACAGCCGCTTGCCGTAACTCCGGGGTGTGCAGGTGAGTTATGTAAGGCCACATCAGTGCCTAGCTGCCAGAGAATTTCACATGCGCCCGGATCTCCCGGCTTGCTTTTGGAAAGACCCCGTGGGGATCATTGGAGCTGTTGGAAGGGGATTTGAACAGCCCTATGGTGACCAGCCGGCTTGGGAGAGCAGCTTGCTGGGAAGACAATGGAACAAGAGCAGTGTGTCCAAGGGAAGACTGGGCAGTGAAAGCTACAGATCAGAGCATCCGCGCAGTTAATCTCGCGGGAATGCAGGGGACAGCAGGTAAACTCACGGAATCACAGAAGTGGAAGAGACCTCAGAAGGTCATTGAGTCCAGGCCCCTGCCCTAGGCAGGACCAATCCCAACTCCCCTCTAGACACAGAGAAAACGTCTTGTAATCTCCTAGTGGACTTGCCATCTGTAACCGATGTGTAGGGCAGCTGGGTGGAGTTCAAGCACCCATCTTTACAAACCCTGGTGTCTGCAGCGGGCACCAGGACCAGAGGGGGGGGCGGGTGAGGGGGAATCCATCGTCCGGGGCCGGCCGACCAGACCCACTGGGTGGAACCCTCTGGAGAGACTGCCTGGACCCTACCCATTAACCTCGCAACGGTTTCACGCCCTCTTGAACTCTCTCTTCAAAGTTCTTTTCAACTTTCCCTTACGGCACTTGTTGACTATCGGTCTCGTGCCGGTATTTCGCCTTAGATGGAGTGTACCGCCTGCTTTGGGCTGCATTCCCAAGCAACCCGACTCCGAGAAGACCCGGTCCTGGTGGCAGGGGCCGCTACTGGCCTCACACTGCCCACGGGCTGTGCCACGGTCAGAAGGGATGGGGAGAGCTGGCCTTCTGTATGCCACATTTCTGGCGGGATGGGGATTCGATGCTGGGCTCTTCCCTGTTCACTCACCATTGCTGAGGGAACGCTGGTTAGTTTCTTTTCCTCCACTGACTCACATGCTTAAATTCAGCGGGTCGCCACGTCTCTGAGGTTTCAGTCGGATGGGGACCACAGGGGCGGGGGGGAGGGGGAGACATGCCACGCCTCCCCTCCCCCACTGTGGAAGCACTTTGGCCCTGGAGGAGGCCTGACCCAACGAGCTGGGGAAGAAAGGTTCCGTGCAGCAGGAGCATCCCCACACCCCCCTGAGCGGGGCGCGAGTGGGCGGGGCAGGGTCCCAGGGAGAGGACGCAAGGGCTGTCGTCAAACTTGGTTACATTTCCAGACTTTCAGCTTGGGCTTTGCGCAGGACCCCATGTCGCCCTGTGGTACGGCGCGTCCTCAGTCCGGGGCTAACGGGGATTTTCGTCCACTAGCCAGGCGTCGAGCGAATGCAAATGGACGTTTTGGGGAGCCACGGTGCAAGAGGCAGAGTTCTCAGCTGGAGACCAGCCAGCAGGCGTGTCTGTGTCACTCAGTATGAAATGCAACTTCGACCTTCCCCGGCACGGGGCCACCAGGAGGTGAGAAATTACAACCAGGGGCTGCACTGGAGTTTCCAGTGGAGCAGACGCCCAGCGCCGGAGGGCGAATGGGACACTGGAGCTATCAACAGGGAGCAGCATGTGGGCTATTGTCCCAGCTGCTTATACGGGGACACGGCTCTCAGGAGGGGATGGGCGTCCTGCTCCGAGTGCTGCACCCAGCCCCGGGCGGCAGAGCACCTAAGCACGTGCTTAGCTTTCCGCAGCTTTCAGCCCCTGCACCAGGCTACAGTGGAGCATGGCTCAGCCGAGCCGAGGGCTCCTCCCAAGCAGCCCGGCCCTGCCCTTTCTGGGCAGAAATACCCAAGTGCACTCGCCTGCGGGATCCAGCTGGAGTTGCTGAGGCCGGGTGGGCCAAGCTGCTCTCCCCAGGGAGCGCCCGGAGCGGTGCCCTGCTGGGGGGGCCAGGGAGCGCCGTGCGGGCAGAACCAGCAGGAGGCAGCCAGGGCCAGCCAGAGAGACCCACCGAGGGCCATGGAAACGTCTCGGGGCTAAGGCCACAGTCTAGACCACGCAGGGGATCAGAGACAGCCCGGAGGCTGGAGGTGGCCTCCCTCCCAGACGTGACCGTTCCCAGCCATGAGCAGCGTGAGGCGCCTCCTCGGGTTCGACTGCGCTACCGGCCCCGCCCGACGCGCGGGGAGACAATCGGCAGCAGAGAGCCGGGAGGCTGCCCCAGGCGGGCGTGAGGCCAGGACACAGGCTGGCTCTGGGGTGCTGAGGCAGCGCGGCGGAGAGGCCAGTCAGGAAACGGCCACCGGCTCGGAGTCAGGAGGCGGCTTCTCCCGGCCGCTCCGCCGGAGGGAACAACCCTGCGGCCAGACCTGGCGGCGCAGCCAGGCGAGGGCCCAGGCAGGCGAATCGCTGCCCTGGCGCCGTGCCCACGGCCGCTCACATGCTAAGGAGACAAAGAAGTGAAATGAGCTGACACCTACTTAATCTCTTCAGAGAAGAATATTTACTTGGGTTAGTCTTGACGGCAGCCTCGTAGGACGGCGGGAGGTGGGCGAGGTTCTGGAAGGAGCGGGAGAAGGAGAGGTCGTAGGGCTCCGTGGCAGAAGTGAGGATGCTGTTCAGCCGGGGTTTTTCTGCAAGAAAGAATAAAAGCGAGTCCACAGGCTGCAGCGGGGGCAGGGAAGAGAGAGGCAAGTGCAAGCCCATCCCGGCCACCTGCCAGGGAGCACCGCTGGCCCTGCTCTCCAATTCAACCCGAGCCCAGCCAGGCCGGGGAGGGACAGGCGAAGCTTTGCTGCCCCCAGGCGCCACGGCCACGCCTGACTAATGCCAAGTGTGCAGAGAGCAGCCCCCTTGGCCAGAGTCACCTCGCCAGGGACAGAGACTGCTGCGCTGGGCCTCCAATGTCCCCGCTCCAAGGGCAGAGCCAGCACAGGGGCCATTAGCGTCCAGGGGGAGACACACGCTCCTTCGCCTCCGTCCCATGGTGCCCAGCCCTGCCCCTCTGAGGAGAATCCTCATTTCTCCTCCCCTCTGCACTGGCCGTGCCATGGCTGGGCCCTGGAGACGGGCTGCTGGCCCTAGCCTTCACGGCCCAAGTTCAGGACCAGCCCATGCTCTCGCTGGGAGGCGAGTCCCGCCTGAGGGGCTGGGTGCAGGGGAAGCGGCAACGGCTCCCGAAACCGCCCCGCTGTCTGATGCCGTCCGGAGCCCTGCAGGAGAGGACCCTACGGACAGAGGCTGTCGAGGGCGTGAGGCCTGCCCACGACTGACCTGCCACCTAGTCATCCTGGCAAAGGCTGGTGTCCCCAGTCCAGGAAGGGTCAGGCTGGGAGCTTTGTTCTGAGAGCTGGGCAGTGGCTGAGGTGTCCTGAGGGGCCGGCTGCAGAGCCATGGGACCCTGCTTCCCAGCCTGGCTAGACAGACACGCTAGCTCTGCTCCAGCCAGGGTGCTGCACACGGTCTGTCGTGGCAGCAGCCTGGGCATCAGCTTGTCCAGCTGTCTCAGTCCACGGCCGCCTGCCCCCGGCTACAGACATGGCAGCTAGCTGGAGTCTCTGCCTGCGCCCCCACAGCCACATGGGGATTTCTGCCAGGCCAGCGGGTCAGAGGGAAGCGCACTGCAGCTGCAGTGGGGAGGTGCCCTCAGTGTTCCAGGGGTGGGTGGAAGGAGAACCCTGGCAGACTCTGGAGGCTTTGCGGGGGCCAGCCTGGGCGAGGGACGGGCAGGAGGCAGGGAACTGGGTGGGGGGTAGTTTCCCGCTGCTTGCTGTGATCTGCAGCCTGGCCTAACCCAGCCGGCTGAATTCCAGACCAGTGTGTTTCTCCGCCCGAAGGACGTAGGGGGCTAGTCTAGGAGAAACTCCCAGAGATTCCTGCCTCTGCCACTCCTGTCACTGGCCACAGGGCATGGGGGGGCTCTGTTCCATCGGACAGCCCAGGGGAGCTGGGCCTCATTTCTCGACCTAGCTGACCACCCCCAGCAGGGAGCAGGGATGCTCCGGAGAAAGGAGCCAGGAGAAAAACCTGAGCTGGCAGGCCACAGTCCCACCCCTGCCGTGCGAGGGACTCAGGCTAGGTGCCCAGAGAATCATAGATCGTAGGGCTGGAAGGGACCTCAGGCAGCCGTCTAACCCAGCGCCCCACGCTCACGCCACCATCAGGTACTATCTAGACCAAGTGACATGCTCTTCAAAACCTCCTGCAGCGCAGACTCTGCGACCGCCCACACGATTTACTCCAGGGCTTAACCACCCCGGGCAGGAAGTTCTTCCTGCTGCCCAGCCTAAACCTCCCATGCTCAGCGTAAGCCCTGTTGCGTTCGTCCTGTCCTCAGAGATTCAGGAGAATCATTTTTCTCATTCCTCGTAACACCCATTTATGGACGTGAAAGCTGCTGTCATGTCCCCTCTGAGTCTTCTTGCCAGACTAGAGAAGCCCAGTTCTTTCAGCCTTCCCGCATGGGCCATGCTTTCTAGACCTTTCATCCTTTGTCTTCCCTCCTTGGACTTTCTCAAATGTGTCCACAATTTGCCCAGAACCCGACACTACCCCAGCTGAGGCGTCCTCAGCCCAGAGCGGAGCAGAAGGCTTCTTGTGCCTTGCGCACAACATGCCTGCTAAGACCTCCGGGCATGAAGTTTGTCGTGTTATTCCGTGGACTCGTATTCTCCTTGTGAGACTCCTCTCAGCGGCTGTCCATGCGTGGCAGCCGTTTCCCATTGGGAGGCGTGCACCCGACTGCTCCTTCACCACATCTGGGAACCCGCTTTAACCAGCAGCTGGCGGGAGACCCTGCGATTTCGGTGGCGCTTTCTGTCAGTAACAAAGGGTTCCAGTGGGCCTTGCCCCATCTCAGGAGGGCCCACTGGGTCCAGTCGTGCTGCAGAAGGTGGGTCCCAGTGAGTCAGGCGCCTGGCCAGGAAGCCCCCCCACTCCTTCCTGCCAGCTGATCGGTGTTTTTAAAGACCAAACGTCAGGCGGCAGCGCCTCTGCCTCCTGCAGCTTCCTGGTGACCCTTCCTACGGGGAGCAGAGCTAGCCCCTGCTTCCTCTGTCCGCAGGCGGCTCTGCTCCCCAGCCTGGTGCAGAAGTGTTGAGTTACTGAGGGAATCCCTGACCCCAAACGTCCTTCAGAGCCCGGCCCCCCAGCTCCTGCAGACAGGCATGAAAATGCTGCCTGTGACATCAATGAGAGCCAGAGCTGGGGCTACTGCTGCTCTGCCACTTACTCTCTGGATGGCCCCAGTCAAGTCACTGCACCCTTTGGTGCTGAATTGTTCCAGTCTGGGAAATGGGGAGAATGCCTGTTACCTGTCTTGATGAAGGTCTGTGAAGCCCTCAGCAGTACTAGCTCTCGCAGTGAGTAATGGGGACAGTTGGGTCTGTGATTGACAGAGACCTAGGTGACAGGCATGTTTTCACGCTTAGCATGATGGCGTCGGGCTCTCCTCCATCGCTCCAGAAACAGGAGCTGGGTTAGACCCCCCTTGCCCAGGGACACTTGTGAAACCAGCTGCCGAGAGGACTGGTAGAAAGACAATGTTTCTGAGCGCTGGCTCTGTTTCTGGAAGGAGGCTAAAGGCCAATCACTCGGTGTCCTTGGGCTTCAGGGGACTGGAAATCTCCAGTGTCAGATCCCAACTGTTGTTTGTCCCTTGTTCCCATATGGAAACCCGCTGGGTACAGCTTGCTGGCCTGGGGGCATGAAGTGTTCGTCTCTGGAGAGCGTGATGCTCAGAGCAGGCCTACACTAATGGAGAAGGTCCAATTAAGACATGCTCCTCCAGCCATGTTAATTACGTAGCTCGAGTCAACATATCTTGATTCAAGGTTCCACAGAGACTCCACAGTGGGAGGCTGACAAGAGCAAATACTCCTGGCAGCTTAAGAACATAAGAGCAGCCAGACTGGGTCAGACCAATGGTCCATCCAGCCCGGTGTCCTGTCTACCGACAGTGGCCAGTGCCAGATGCCCAGAGGGAGGGAACACAGCAGGGAATCCTCATGTGATCCCTCCTCTGTCGCCTACCTCCAGACAAACAGGCTAGAGACACCATTCCTAGCTAATAGCCATTGCTGGACCTAACCTCCATGAATCTATCTAGCTCTTTTTTGAACCCTGTTAAAGTCCTAGACTTTACCACATCCTCTGGCAAGGAGTTCCACAGGTTGACTGTGCACTGAGTGAAGAAAAACTTCCTTTTGTTTGTTTTAAACCTGCTGCCTATTAATTTCATTTGGTGACCCCTAGTTCTTATATTGTGGGAACAAGTAAATAACTTTTCCTTATTCACTTTTTCCATACCAGTCATGATTTCATAGACCTCTAGCATATCATCCCTTAGTCTCCTTTTTTCTAAGCTAAAAAGTCCAAGTCTTTTTAATCTGTCTTCATATGGGACCCGTTCCAAACCCCTCAGCATTTTTGTTGCCCTTTTCTGAACCTTTCCCAATGCCAATAGATCTTTTTTGAGGTGAGGAGACCACATCTGTACACAGCATTCAAGATGTGGGCGGACCATGGTTTTAGATAGAGGCAATAAGATATTCTCTGTCTTATTCTCTATCCCTTTTTAAATGGTTCCTAACATTCTATTTGCTTTTTCGACAGCCTGCTGCACACTGAGTGGATGTTTTCAGAGAACTCTCCACGACTCCAGGATCTCTCTTGAGTGGTTGTAGCCAAATTAGCCCCCATCATATTGTAGGTATAGTTGGGATTATGTTTTCCAATGGGCATTACTTTACATTTATCAACATTACATTTCATTTGCCATTTTGTTGCCCAGTCACTTAGTTTGGTGAGATCTTTTTGAAGCTTTTCACAGTCTGCTTTGGTCTTAGCTACCTTGAGCAGTTTGGGATCATCTGAAAATGTTGCCACCTCTCTGTTTACCCCTTTTTTCTAGATAATTTATAAATAGGTTGAATAGGATGGGTCCAAGCACAGACCCTTGGGGGACCCCCATTAGTTACCTCTCTCCAATCAGAAAGTTGACCATTTATTCCTACCCTTTGTTTCCTGTCTTTTAACCAGTAATCAATCCATCAATCCTCTTATCCCATGATAACTAACTTTACTTAAGAGCCTTTGGTGAGGGACTTTGTCAAAGGCTTTCTGGTAACCTAAGTACACTCTCTGCACTGGATCCCTTTGTCCACATGTTCGGAGATCCCCTCAAAGTATTCTATTAGATTAGTAAGGCCTGATTTCCCTTTACAGAAAGCATGTTGACTTCCCCACAACAAATTACGTTCATCCACGTGTCTGACAATTTTATTCTTTACTAGAGTTTCAACTAATTTGCCTGGTACTAATGTTAGACTTACCGGTCTGTAATTGCTAGGATCACATCTGGAGCCCTTTTTAAATATTGGCGTCACTTTAGCTACCTTCCAGTCATTAGGTACGGAAGTTGATATAAAGGGCAGGTTACAAACCACAGATAATAGTTCAGCAATTTCCCATTTCTCAAGTGACTTGTTACTGGTAGTTTATCGATTTGTTCCCAAACTTCCTCTAATGACCCCTCAATCTGGGACAGTTCCTCAGATTTGTCACCTAAAAAGAATGGTTCAAGTTTGGGAATCTCCCCAATATCCTCAGACATGAAGACTGAAGCAAAGAATTC